CCGGCTCGTAACCAGCGCGTTCTGCCGTCGAGGGCGATCATTGGTTAAATGTGATCATGTGACTGATGCAAGCCAGATCCTTTTATTTAGCAAAACTATGATTAATAGTTAAATATTATTGTTGAGGGGCACAGACAGGACTCCGCACGCACACACACATAAAAAAAATAAATAATTTTTTTTTAAAAATTTAAAAGTTGCCTCAACAAAAGGGCACTTTGGGCACTCATCAGGAAAGGGGCGGGTGCTCAAGCCCCTCTAGCCCCCCCCTCTGCACGTCCCTGCCTATAAGAATGAGTATATAAAGCAGTTTAAACTAGTTCCACCTCAAGCACCTGTTACCGTAAATGTGTGCCTTAGCAGTGACACATCAGCAATAATGATAAAATGGAGGATAATGCATAAACTGTCAAAGCAATAATTATAAATTCCAACCAGGAAGTTCCTGCTAAAATTCCAAAGTGTTACATTTTACAAGTGTAAACCTGTCTGTGCTAAGGATCTAAATGGACTGCTTATTGTTATACACTGTTACACTGTCTCTTGACTTCACACATTTTGACTCTTAGAGTTACATAAACACAAAATAATGAGGCGTTTGCAGCTTTAATACTGACTGCATGTGTGTGTGTGCATCTGTTAGCTGTTCCCACAGATTGAGGAGGTGATGGTAAAGCCACTCAGAGAGTCAAGAGACCGGTACGAAGAGCTCAAACAGACTGATGATGCCATGAACGAGGTTGGATGATTTTTACAAGTGTGTGTGTTTTTAAATGCGGCTGCATTTAATTTGTCCGATTGGTCCTGAGTGTACTTTGTAACTGAGAAAGTGTGTTTCCTTCAGGTGCAGAAAAAGAAAAGTGAGAATTTAACAATGGATGGTGAGAAGTGAAAAGTTCTGAAAAGGTAGGAACCAAACACAAGTGTTTGCTGCAATGTTTCAGTCAGACTATGTATGAACCGCTTTCTTTGTGATCCGTGTGTTTCAGGACCAGTGAGCACAGAGCACAAGTACAGTGGAATAATGAGATGTGTTGTTCCACTGGGAGCTGTAAGACCTTCCATCACCCTGTCCACTCCTCACATGGAGCAGCATGAAGGGTGTTGTCGTTTCCAGTGTGCCACAGGAAGATGATGGCCGATGTTTAAGAGCAGCTTCTTAAGCTGCTACAGGACTTGAGGACCAGAGGGACTCTGAATTGAGTGGTTTTAGCTGAATGCTAGCATTCGAATACCACAGACTACTTCAGTGAACAATATTTAGATATAATTTGTGTATTGTGTTTGTTTTTACATATTTTTATTGGCTTTTGTTATTTTATACAAAAATTAAAAGTATAATCTTAATAGCAAAGTTCTGTCTGGACTGTTTCTTTTATTTTCACACAAAATAGCCAATTATTCGTCATGGAAAGGCAGCAAAAGAGAAGAGGAAAAAAGGAGGGCAAAGATAGACAAGGACAAAATACAAGAGAGGGAGAAGCCAAAAGTTAACGAAATGCAGTGAAATGAAATGCTTCCTAATTCTTCTTGTGATTGCTCCCTCTCACTGGATCATCTGCATCCATCTTACCCTATCCTCCTCTGTCACACCCTCTGCATATCCTCCTTAACTTCATGGGTCATTGTGGCGCCAGTGTGTACGGCATGCCATCTGCTGCATCTTTTGCTCTCCACTTTGTTTTTGTTGTTGTGTGTCAAGCAAAATGTCAAGTGTCTACCGATGTATGATCACCAGACAGTTCTAAAGCTTTTTTCTACCAACCTCCGTGCTCACCTCACTGGAAGCGGCACAGACGTCAGGGTAAGTGAGGTGGGCGGTTAGCTAAAACGCCTGTTTGGCCTGCTGTCCCAAACTTTTCCTGGCCCAAAAGGAATCGGTTTCTCACCTCTTTGCTTTGTTGCGCTCGTTGGATCAGGTCTATCACATCGATCATATCTTGTGTTGTACCATGTGTGGTACAACACAAGTCTGTGGGGGGTGTGGTGACAGTGTGGGTACGTTTGATGGTGTGATGAAGCCGTGGGAATGTGGTGAATCTTTCTGACCAACTGTGAAGTACTGACATCAGCTCATCATTTGATTTACAGCAGCCCTGCTGTGATAATACATGTGGGCTACGTACCAGTGGATATGTAAACGTAATGATGTATCAATAGCAGAATACCCATATGAGGTCCTGTATAATCAAAATATATACACACACACACACATAACTAACCATCCACTCGGAGTTGATTTAAGTCTTATGTACATGTACATGAAGTACACGGACACACTGCACAGGTGGTTTCATGTCTGCGCAGCTGCTACGTGTACTGTGGGGAGTGGGCAGGCTAGGCAGAGTGTCTTAAAGAAGTATCTACACATCCAACCAATGGGGATCATTCCCTGTACATATGGAATATGTAACGGAGTGGAGAGAGATTCTCGATGTGATAGAGAATAAATTATTTGACCACAAAAACCCCAAAACACACACAGCACAAGAGCAAAAAGCATCTCAGCAGCTGTCTGCACTGTGGTGCACAGGTAATGATGTGAGCTTCTTTTCTCGCCGCCTGACCTGGGAAAGGAGGTGTTGCAGTAACTCAAACTCCAGGCCTCAACCCTACAGTGTCAGGACAGCTATGCATAAACCATGTAAAACAGAAGAGGCCCAATTTCCTTCACAATTATATGAAACAGTCATTGAGAAAATGATTACTTCAATTTATTGCTGAGAGGCTGTGAAGCCCAGAGTGTTTAATTAAATCCTAGTCTCATATTCTTTTTAAGCTGTGGAACACATTTTCCTGTTTCATTCATTCTCATAACTCACTCAGCTTTTCCTACACGTCAGAATCCTGCTCTGGAAAAACTGAGGAAGTTTAGTAGTCACTTCCTCAGCTGCTGCTAACACACACTGCAATCGCATGCAATCAGAAATGTGAACAGAGAGCAACTCTAACCCGAAGACAGTGTGAGTGCATGTGGTTCCGTGAACAGCATGTTTCCTTCACTGGTGATGGTGGAAACATAGGGCAGACTTTAATGATAATGTTTCTACAACATTCTTCTTTAAAAATAAGAGAAATTTGAGTCAAACATAAGAACCCCTCATCGGGCCTGTGTGGTGAAGCTCACACATTTTATCAATGCATCAAAACAAGGAAATAAATGTTCTTCAAGTGTCTTCAGGCAAATGGCTGAGTCACCGACTCAGTTTCCTTCTTGACCCTCTTGTTGCCCTTTGCTCTTTGACCCCCGCTCCTCTTCAGGTGCTGCTCCTCCAGCCTTTGTTGTTTCCTCTGGAGGTACACCGCCACATTGTCAAAGGTCACCTTGTGCAGCTGCTCAAACCGGTTATTAGTCCTTAAGGAGGCTGGTATTTAAGAGAAGGTACAGTAAGTATATGTCTGCGTCAGTATATGAAAAATATAATAATACAGACAGATGTCCTGATGCAGGCTCAATCATCCAGGTAAGGAAATCCCAAAAGGTTGATTCTGTTCAACCCAACGTAGCATTTTCAGCAGGAGAAACATATTGTCACTCATCCAGGTGACGTCTTCAGTCTCAGCTGACTGAAGGTTTCCAACTTTATAAACAGTACATTTGCACAATGACTGGAACCAGCCCACTGAATGAACAATGGGCTGGGAGGTCAGTTTCTTCATCAATAATTTGCAAATTGCCTAAAAATCTTAGAAATATGGTACCAGCCAGATGTTTACTCTGGGTTGTTTTGCCTTTGAGGAACCTTGGAGTCATTTTTGACCAGGACATGTCCTTCAATGCACATATTAAACAAATATGTAAGACTGCTTTCTTCCATTTGTGCAACATCTCTAAAGTTAGAAATATCCTGTCTCAGAGTGACGCTGAAAAACTAGTTCATGCATTTATTACTTCCAGGCTGGACGACTGTAATTCATTATTATCAGCATGTCCTAAAAACTCCCTGAAAAGCCTTCAGTTAATCCAAAATGCTGCAGCAAGAGTCCTGACAGGGACTAGAAAGAGAGAGCAGATTTCTCCTGTTTTGGCTTCCTGTTAAATCCAGAATTCAAAATCCTGCTCCTCACATACAAGGTCTTAAATAATCAGACCCCATCTTATCTTAATGACCTTGTAGTACCATATCACCCTATTAGAGCACTTCGCTCTCGCTCTGCAGGCCTACTTGTTGTTCCTAGAGTATTTAAAAGTAGAATGGGAGGCAGAGCCTTCAGTTTTCAGGCCCCTCTTCTGTGGAACCAGCTTCCAGTTTGGATTCAGGAGACAGACACTATCTCTACTTTCAAGATTAGGCTTCAAACTTTCCTTTTTGCTAAAGCATATAGTTAGGGCTGGACCAGGTGACCCTGAATCCTCCCTTAGTTATGCTGCAACAGGTGTAGGCTGCCGGGGGATGATGCACTGAATGTTTCTTCACTCACCACGTGTGTTCATACACCTCTCTGCATGTAATCATTAGTTATTACTAAACTGTGGCTCTCCTGCACTGCGTGTCTTTTTGTCTTCCGCCCTTCACCCTAAAATGGTCGCAGCAGATGGCCCCGCCCCTCCCTGACCCAGGGTCTGCCGGAGGTTTCTTCCTGCTAAAAGGGAGTTTTTCCTTCCTACCGTCGCCAAAGCGTTTGCTCAGTCTGACTCTTGGGGTTTCTTTCTATTACTGTAGGGTCTTTAACAATATAAAGCACCTTCAGGCGATTTGTGTTGTGATTTGGCGCTAAATAAATAAAACTGAATTAAACTCACCTTCAAGTGTCTCCCAGTGTGGCCTGAAGGCTTTAGTCACTCTGTTAAGTTCAGGTACATGAACAACACACTAGAGAGACCCAGAGAGCAGACAGGTCAGCCAGAGTCAACACACCCATACACATTTATGGGAGAGAATTAAACAGGGAATTAAACGATAGCAGCAGACTATATTTATGACTATATACACTGAAACACTGGCCAACATCCCTGGAAGAGAGAACAATACCATGGCAACCATAAAGGTACAGCTGTACTGCCCCATGTCATAGGATCTGATTCGCTGAGCCTGTGTTTCATCAGAGTTAGTGTATCACAAAGAACAAACTCGTTTTCAAAACTATTGTCATATATCCAATATGGACCCTGGATGTGTCCAGTCTCCAATCTCGTGTATCCAGTGTATGAATGTAACCAATACAGAGACTCCAATCATCTGAAAATATCTGAGTGCAGTTTCTTCTCTACATATATTCATTATGAATTATGGCATTGTACCTCCCAGGAGCTGTGTGTCAGTGAGTAGATTTGAAGTGGTGCATCACTAGAGTCCATCAGCACCCACAGTAGTCCTTCGGGGTCAAAGTTCACGTCCAGGGGACAGCAGGGCAGGGAGATCCTGCTGTGTGGCACAAGCTTCTCCTTGCCCTTCTGAGTCAGTGTGAAAAGCTGGAGTATGGGCACGCTGAGAACACACGGGGTGCAAGCAAATCATCAGTGGGACCCCTCCGTAAGACTCTAGCTTTAATTCTGAAACTGGATTAACTACTACAGAGACTTGGCTTAGTCTCTGTAGACCACATTTTTTCCTGACAAAAGCCAGATGCTAACTAAATAAAAAGTAAAGCACAAGGATAGAAACTGTGATGAAATATACTGACACTTTTTGTCAATGTTTAGAAACGAGATCGAATCAGAACTAATGTGTAGCTGTGTAGAAAGGCGGCCATTCTTATATTTTGCTTGTTTTTATGTTATTGTATTTTTGCACACGTCTGTTGCTTGTGAAGCTCGCACAAGAATTTCACTCACATGTACTGTACCAGTGCACCTGCACATGTGATGTGACAATCAAAGTGATTTGATTTGAAGTGCTTGGTGTTGGCTCTGCAGTAACATTTCCTGTTACAAAGCACAGCAGTGTTTTATGTAGCTTACGTGTGTAGCCCATTTAATTGAACACTTTTACATAACGTCTTATTTGATAGTGCAATTCACATTGGTGCCCTGCGCGAATGCACAGGATGGGTTTAAAGTTGCTGTAGGTGGGAGCTGGCAGCTAAACATAGACAGTGGGTCCCAGGACTGTCAGCAGGATGGAGAGTGCAACTGATTCTGATAACAAAACTAAAGGTGAAGAATGTTTGATCTAATGTTTGGAGAAATCGTTATAAACAAAGAAAGTAAAGGTAAAGAGCTGGACTTTGCTGCACTTCTCACAACACACAAAGTGCTTGTGTTTAGTTTTCAGTCTTGTGACTGACCCTGGTGGGCAAAACATTACTCCATTGTGACCACAGTACCACAGTCGGTGGTACTGCAGGACAAAATGTTTTGTTATTTCCTCATCTGTCTTGAGCCCAGACTACTTGGATTATCTATCAATGGAGGAAAAAACGAACACATGCATAGAAACTACGACTTTTGGTGAAGTGTGATCCATATTCTTCCCCAGCAGCTTTATTTAAATCCCTGAACATGGCATCTCTCACAGAGTGACATATACAGCCATGATAGCAGCCTTCAAAGTAAGGACAGCAACATGTAATTTTGATCTGGATGGTTAAATAGTGCCATCATGTAGGAGGTGAAGAAGAAATGTTTCATCGTTAAAGCAAAGGTAAGCCTTACATAACTAGCTTAAACCAACTACCACACATAAGCTAGCTACTCCTCAGCCTCTTCCTCGGAAGCCTAAACAGAATCGCTCAGTGCACCACTCCACACGTCCATCTGGCCTTTACTTGGAGTTTCTATCAGATTTCTCAGGTTTTTTTTAAATCCGATTTAGTGCTTAGATTAAATTAAAGAATTATTGTGGGTGATTTTAAAATCCATCTCAACACAGCATTTAATCTATTAAAATATAAGAAATAGCTGTAATATATACAAATAGCTTAATTATAAATATCAAGACTATAACGGAGGTGAAAGAGATTTTACTCCAACCTGTAAAACTTCATTTGTTGTTTTACTGTAGAGCAAAAGGGTAAAACTGCTGCACTGTGTATTAGATAGAAGAGTTGTACAGAGAGACACAGGCAGGAATCATTTCCTGTGTCGCTCAGTGGTGCATTATGGGTAATCTGTCGCACTGAATGTGCTCCTGTGACTGGCCAGCACGTCACCGAGTGGGTGGGAGGTATAGTCCAGCATTGTCCTTATCTTAGATGACCTCCGCCTGCCACTGAGCATGATGATAAATGACAACTGTATTTGTTGTTCCATTACTCATTTTTCCTTTAATTTGGCGCTCATCTGGTTAAATTTGTAAAGTTGTATATAGTGCACAGTCCAACAACAACAGAGTCACACACGGGAACTCACCTGTCACACTGCACAGCTACATACTGACCGTCACTCGAGCTGGTAATTCGGCACACTGTTGTATCCTGAGCATTGAAATGGAAAAAAACAAACAAACATACGTTGGATTGGTTCACTCTGACTACTTGGCCTTTTAACAAAGCGACTTGTTTCGACAGTCCCAGGATGTCTAATATGAAAATGTTTGGTTGGTGAGATAAATCCACAGGTCTTTTTCAGCAGTTTCCCCAACGCCTCGTGACAACTGTCATGATGATCCATGGATTTAACTGTAAAACGTTCAGATGCCTCCTAAAGCTGTACAGCAGCAAACAGACAACTGTCAAGAAGTAAGAAATGTTTCAGACTTGGATGTCTCTGAACAGGTTTCAGTGATGTGCTACACTGACACCTGTGTCTGAAACGGAGAGAAAAGTGCTACAAATGTCTACCGTATGATCCATCAGCAAAAACTAGGAAGTGTGCAATGATTTGTGTGTAATGTCTAAGGACTCACAAGCGTGTGCTTTAATCTGCATGCAAATACTAACCAATTTGAGCACACACAAACCAATTTTACAAATGCGTGTACCCAAAGTGATCACAGTTCAAGTTCAGCTTCATAAATCGGATCATTTTTCTCTGAAAAAGCCGTCTGTGCGTGCACATG